AAAGAATGAAATACATACCTCAAAATACACTAGCATTTATTGGATATTAAATATAAGCACATTTTATTTGCCAGGAACTGACCCTTCTGATAGATCTAAATTGTATTTAAACTACTTCTGTCCGCTAGGGTTCCTGCAATTTGGATCCAGTTTCCCAAGCCGCGGGCTTGAAAACTACAGAGTAGTGAGTTAATGAAGTTTTGCTTTGGGCCGGGGTGAGCCCGTTAATGTCAGAGCTTCGTCCTGTCAATCATCCCCAGTTTATTGAGGCCCGATAACGGGGGCTGGTTATGTGCCCAAAAAAATTACGAGGGGTGCTTTGGTAAATTTGAACCGAGAATGAACAAGAACCCATGGTTCAATATTGCTTGATTTTGTTTAATTGCAGGTCTGGCATATAAATAGAAGGCATCAAACGAGACGCGCGTGCGCGTAAAGAATACGCAAGCTGTTACATGGTAACTCCCCGGCAGAGAACCGTAGAGAGCAGCCTCTAGAATGCGGAGAACTGGACGCTTATCGGGGGGTGAAGACAAGCTCCGGAATTAATCATCATATTGGGCTTTCCTTGTTTTTTATTTCTAATCATCATATTGGGCCCATATTTCCTAAAGCCGCACTTCGGCCCAAATGACATCAATTCATAAGAACAAGACACAAGCCGGGGTTGAATGAACATCACATTTGGGCCCCCGCGTCATCTGTCATATCAGATCACCCAATTATTGTATACAAAAAAAAAAAGCATCTAATTATTGATTATATTCAATTCAATGATTTTTACATATATCCGTTTAATATTTTAATATATTATAATTATTTAGAAAGAAATATCTCATAATAATTGTTTTATGAAGCATGACTTAAAAATAAATAATTATTCAATTGGGTGATATGCACTACCCAAAAAGGGGCCGCAGTTGGGAGAAAATCCTCGTTGCCCGCGGTGGTCTCCTCCTCCGCTTGTGCCGGACTCTAACCCATTTTCAGGACCAATTATAAGTATCATGATATAAGTTTGGTGACTGAAAATGTTTCGATTAAAATTATCTCTAATAAAAAAAAATGTTTGTACCTGGGGAAAAAAATATGTATCGTTCTAATATAAGTTTAGTAATATAGATTTAAAATTCTAAACTAATAATTTTTAACTAGGAAATTATTTTTTGAAAAATTACTAATTAAGAAATTATCGTTGTTTTGTATTCTGATTTTTTAAAAATAAAAGTTAACAAAAGAAGTTAAATCTGAACGCATCAACCTCATCGCCGATGACCACCGAAAACCAAATTTCAATTTCCAGCTCAGCATTCCTGGTCCTCCATTTACTTGTTTCAGTCCATATATAGTCATTTGTTTTCTATAATACTACCTCCGGTCTTTTATTTGATTTTTATTTTGATTCTAAATATAAGACCCCAATCCACTTTGTCTCTAATATTTATGTACTCCTCCGGTCCTAATTATAAGACCCAATTGACTTATTTGAGGAGATTAAGGAAGTAAGTTAAGTTGGTTATTTATAATAAATAAGTGTTGTTATTCCTAAAATATCCTTGCTAATTAAGTATATTGGCTAAAACTATCATTATTAGAAGGATTATCTTGGAAAAAAATGCATAAATATAAAAGAAAAAATGGATTGGGTCTTATAATTAGGACCAAATAAAAAGTCAAATTGGGTCTTATAATAAGGACCGGAGGAGTATTTTTTTTCTAAAATAATCCTTCTAATAATGATATTTCTAGTCAACACACTTGATTAGCAATGATATTTTAGGAAAAACAACATCTATTTATTATAAATAGCTAACTTAATCTATTTTCTTAATCTCCTCAAATTAGTTAACTGGCTCTTCTAATTAGAACCGGAGGCAGTACGATTGACCAAAGCAAGAGTCACTCCTGTCCTGTGGGCCACAAATAAAACCTAACGTCCAAACTCCGAACTCCGAGTTTTCCATTCATTACCAGCTGCATCAATAATAATAATACACAGCACCAAGGACACTATAGCTAAAACCACTAAGCTCACCACCAGAATATCAGCCGAGCCACACTTCATATATATTATCATCTAACACTCGACATTTCTTCAGCAAAATTCTGGACTGCTTCTGCTGTAATAATCGCAACAAACTTGAGATTTCACCTGTTTGTTTGTCCTTCTCTTGCGATCGTGCGTGTCTTTTTTTCCTCCGGGTGCTTCTTTTATTTATCCACATGTTTCTTTGCTGCAAGCAGAATCATTACGCACCCTTATGTCTAGGAGCTGAAGATTTCTATATCTTCCCCGACTGTATTTTCGCATTCAGGTACATAAGTAATTATCCAATACCGAACTCCTAAGGTTCGTCTTTCAATTTTTGTTCTTGTTACAAAATAAGTTTAGGTGAATTGAATTTCGAGAGCTCATCAGGATCTTATATTTGGAATAAAAACTAACTCAATAATTAGATCCTATATTAAGGACCGGAGGAGTAATAATTACTATATATACTTTGTCCTTATTTATAAGAAATGCTTGCAAGATATCTCAAATTTTTTTGATTAGTTTCTTGTTTTGACCTCATTAATTATTTATTTTAATACTCAATACTCCTCCGGTCCTTAATATAAGACCCATTTAACTAATTTGATTAGATTAAGGAAGTTAGGTAAGTTAGTTAATTATAAGAAAAGTGACACATTTTTCTTAAAATACCATAATCATCTTTCTTAATACCTCCTCCCCCTCTTCTACTTGATTATGGTTGAGGGAGTATCTATAGGGGTAATTTAGAGAAAATTAATAAATATGAGAAATGGGTCTTACATTTAGAACCAAAACCAACTCAAGAATTGGGTTCTATATTAAGGACCGGAGGAGTATATAATTATAGTCTTATTTATAAATTACTTCCCCTGATTAATACCACCTCTGGTCCTATTTATAAGACCTCGTTTATAATTATAAACAATATCTTATAAATAGGATTAGAGGTAATACCCAAATCTTGCTGATGCTGTACCTTTATTTTTCCTACCTGACTGCTGATATTGTACTTGAATGAATCATTTTGGCTGCTGCCATGAACGGTCACATTTCCAAAAACCTCATTGTTGTGGTAGTGATCTTTCTCCATTTTTGCCGATCCGATTGCACGCAGATGCAAGGGTTCAGAATGAAAAATATACGCTGGCCAAAAACAGAAAAGTGTGTATACATGTATATATTACTCTCTCTCCTTAATATAAGAATTAATTTAATATTTAATTTGATCTTAAATATAATATCTTAATTCACTTTTTTATTTATATTTATCTTTTTTTCTTAAAATAGTCTTTATTTGCACATGTTAAAAATTTTATCAAATATTAGATCAAGTACACATAATTAGCAAAAATACTTATTTATTGTAAATATATAACTTAACTAATTTTTTTAATCTACTCAAATTAGTCAATTAATTCTTATATTAAGAAGATGAAACAGTGTGTGTATATATATCATGTATTAGATGCCTTATCTCCAAGTGATGGTCAAGAATAATATAATTCTTTTCGAAATTTTTTATCCGATTAAGAAAACTTAATTTTTATAAGCTCATGGAGATAAATTCATTAATGTAACATAAATTTCAAAACCTTTTATTATTACGTATTTATATATTTCATAAAAAAATCTAATTACAAGTATATAAGTTTTACCTGTTTTTTTTCCTCTTTCTTTTTCCAAATTAAATTATACTGTTAGGGCGCAATTGCCAGGTAATTATGTGGTAACCACATTTATTGACACTCTTCCACCACCTCTGCATGGCGCCCAGGTGGAATCGCAAGCGGGGCTGGGAATCCAGCTAAGATCTCCCTCACTTATAAATAAGAATATTGGTATAGCTGAAGCAACAGCAACCCTCCCCACAATTTTACTCTGCCTGGCACCCTACTATAACACATTCACCAATCGGATCCACATCACAATCATCAATAGTTAAACTGCGGAACAGCCTCCACGTGTGGAATATTTCAAGCCCATCCCCGGCTGCTCACACAGAGCGTAGCAGCAGATCATAAACCTTCGGGTCCCTAAACAAGTCTCCGAGTGGTAGAGCGCAGTTGAACGAAGCCAATTATGGCAGTTTGTGTCTTCCCATGCACCTGGTTTCAAATACAGAGCATCCTCCCTCCTTCCTTAGCTTCTTCCTCTCGCTAAAGTAGACACAGAGAGAGAGAGAGAGAGAGAGAGAGGGTGTCGTTTTATTAAAGATGAAAGAAAGACGGAGAGTCCAATACAGAGCCAAAAACGCCATTGATTTCTGTTGTGAGACTCAGAACTTTTGCAACACCTGGAGGCTCTCTTCGTTGTCCATCTTTCGTCTCCATTCATCCTCCATCCGTCTCTTCCTGCTTGGCCACTCTCCAACCATCCCATGCTCAAACCCAACCCAACCCCTTAACCATGGTTTCGCTTCTTTTCTATTACTTTACAAAGCAACCAAAGAAAGAGCCAAGGCAAAGCGCAGCCGTCAATGCGAGTTCAACATTTGTCGCAGCTCGCACCATTCTGATCTGAGACTAACCCATTACCCATAACCCATTTAGAGGTAAAAATCTGGCAAGGGCGAAACCCAAAAGAGGGAAGAATTATAATATATCTCTGTATGCGTGAGAGTGGTAAAAGTAAAAGAGAGGAAGGGAAGAAGGGGGGGAGAGAGGCATGAATGCAGATTGCACAAATGTCATGAAAACCAGGGAGAGTAATCACAAAAACGCTTGCCAAAAATAGAAAAAATCCAAAGGGAAAGGAAAAAGAGGAGAGAGTGGGAGAGAGTCCACCATTGAACTCTTTGAACACCAAACCCCACAACCATTTCGTGATTGCCGAGCGTCCATTGCCCCCGCGTTCTGCACACACACTCAGACTGAGAGAGAAAGAGATAGCGCTACAGTATCACAGAAACCAAAAGCACTCACTGTGAGTTGTGGTGTTTGAGGGGAGCGAGAAAAACCCTAAGCTAATGATGATGGATCAGGGAGAGAAGCTGCTTCGCAAAAACGAGGCCTGTGCCTTGATGGCAGGTGTTGACGCTGAGCTTGGCCTTGTCACCGTCCCAGCAGACACCACCATTAATCGCGGGTCGGGTCGTCGTCCGATCCGAGACCTGGGCCTTGTCGCTGCCGTTACCACTGCTTTTGGGACCGTTCACAGGAAGAAAAGGATGGCCAGGCAGAGGAGGTCTTCCACCGTGTCCATGAATCTCCCTCCGCCACCTCCTCCTACTTCCTCGTCCTCGCACGTGCCAATCTCCCCGCTTCGATCTCACAACAATCCTCTCCCCCCTCCACGTGTGAGCTCTCTTTTCTCTTCCTTTTTATTGCTATTTTATTGTGCTTTGGCATGGAGATCTAGTGTCTAGCACCTTGATTATTCCCTTTTTATTCACTATCTATCTTTGCCTTTTGTGATCATCTTAATTCTCTCTCTTCATGTATATTTTCCCTTTGATATGATCTCGTCTCCGATCTCAAATGCTCTAGTTTTCCTGATCTGCATTGTGTCTTTTCTTTAGAAAAGTGTGCTTATTTGTCTCGTGATGGTCACACAAAACTGAGCCATCAGTTTTATGTCCGAACTTGTAGGGGCAGGTCTTTATTTTCCCCCAGTATATAGTCAGGATATGTGATACGAGTTTTAAGAATCACCTTATAGCTATTTGCAATCTCCAATATAATTCGCAGAAACGCTGCGACATTAATGAAGGGGTCACCGCACGTCATACTTATAAATGGAGGATTCCGATATAGAATCGGAATATAACGCAGGCATATTAAACCCCAAGAGTAAATTAACAGAGGTCACACCAATATAAAAGATAGTTTCTTGGTAAGAATGAAAAGAAAAGACAGATATATAGTATATTGGGCAGTTCCTTTTATCATTAATTGAACCGCGTAGTTAACGAGGTGGATAATCAGACATAAGTCAGGCGCATTTCGAGTTTCAAGCTTGTGTGAATCTATTGAAGTGGAGTGGAGCAAGCAAGGAATATACAGTACCATTTATTCACAAACACAAAAAAAGGGGAACGTGAAATAGACTCTGCTTTGAATATTTGTTAATGGAGCATTTTATGTATTAGAGCGTTGGTAGTGTTGAAGTGCACTGTTAAATATTTATGCTGTCTACTTTACGCATTTGGGAAAATGTGTTAAGGACAGCGATATAAGAGCATGCTGGACATGATATAACCTTGGGCACTCTGCCCACTTTATCAGAATTGCCATAATATTAACTCTAAAGGACCAAACATGTTGGGCATGATGGCATTTTACTTCTCAATCCCGAAAATCTTGTTTGCTATATACATAGTATATCTTGTATTATAATAGCGTATTTAGAATCACATCATACATGTATGGTGACGGGATTGCTATATATAGTATGTTGTATCGTAACGTATTTGCTGAATATAATGTGGTTCCAAACTTTGGTTCGCCGAAAAGTAACAATTAGTTGTCGGTTTCTAAGTGAACATGGTTCCGTATGTGTCCTCTTCACCTAAAAAGTAAAACTTTGCCTTTAACTACGTTGCTTTACAAAATTTATTACTTTTTGTTTGGTATCTAGTTATAAGATGAATAATGCTTGATTTCTCACAACTTCATATCTATATGTTCTTAGGAAATTGATCAGGGTAGGTTGAGATTCCTTTTCCAAAAGGAGCTCAAGAACAGTGACGTAAGCTCCCTCCGGAGGATGGTGCTCCCAAAGGTATATAGGTTTTCCAATTGCTTAATTCCTTGTGATTTAGCATTATTAATTTCTTTAGCTGTATTCAAGAAAATCGTGGGAGGAAAATGATTATTTCGAATGAATTTTAAATATTCAGTTAACTTATTATTTTAATTTTCAATATAAAATAAATTTAAATTGTTCAACTTGTAAAAATGAATATTTTCTCATTTTGAATTGAGAGAACTTTGAATCCTATCTGAGATGTTGTCTTAAACTAGCGAAACATGTAAGCTGCATGATGCACATAATTTGAAGTGAGTTACATTGTTGACAACTTGCAAATAATATATAGCTTTTCGAGGATTTTATATTACGTAGAGATTATATTTTATTGCCTTAAATGAGCCTAATTGATAAATAGAAGGCAAACTAATCCAAATTTGCAGAAAGCAGCAGAGGCTTTCCTTCCCATCCTTGAGTCTAAAGAAGGAATTGTTATAAGCATGGATGATATAGACGGTCTTCATGTCTGGAGCTTCAAATACAGGTCTCTTATGCATACCTTTAATTTATTCAATTTGATGACTAAAAAAAAACATAGATTCATTTATGTCTTGAACAAAAAATTGATATAATTTGGATTTACAGTTCAAGATTGTTTATATAAAGTGATACATATGTATGACATCCAATGTAGTGAAAGTTCTCTATAATATAAAACATGCAGGTTTTGGCCTAACAACAACAGTCGGATGTATGTACTTGAAAATACTGGTACATCCTTAATTAGCTCGACGTGTTTTCCCCCCTTCAATTTCAGCTTCTATGTGCTAACTTGTATGCTAGAATACATATCTTTATTAAGATTATGATTCTCGTGTTGAATATTTTTTCCAGGGGAATTTGTTAGCACACATGGCTTGCGTCTTGGAGATTCCATAGCGGTTTATCAGGATAATCAAACCCTTAATTATGTATGTGCCGCAAATCGAATAATTTTCTCATTATATCAGAAAAGCAGAAAAATAATTTCTTCTATTTTTAACCATAACTTAGTGGGAGGAAGTTATTAATTGCAGGTAATCTCGTTTCAATTAATAATGTAATGTTTTAATTTGTGAGAACATTGTAGGTGATCCAAGCTAAGAAGGCTTCTGAGCAGGACGATTTTATGGGCATATCTAGTGATGATAACATCAATGATCTCTTTCTACAGGACTATGAGGTTAACAAGTCAAACAGTCTAAGTGTGATGGCCTATCCCACAATGAATGACACAGATCACATGTCATTCATCTATGAAACCACATTCTCAAATGATTCTCCACTTGACTTTTTGGGAGGATCAATGACCAGTTTCTCGAGAATTGGATCAGTCGAGACCTTCGGCTCGGTCGAGAATTTGTCGCTCGATGACTTCTATTAAGTTTGGATCGATTTCTGCTGTATTTTGATTATATACTACTATCAAGACACTGATTAACATATGGTATCATGAAGACGAAGACAAAACATTATTTTGAATGGTGAGTGTATGGGTTTCTTCATGCTGGTAATGAGGGAAACTTATAAGAGTGTGCTGATTTTGGTGTTGAAATGTGTAGAATAAATGAGTAGTCGTCGATCTCCAGACCACTTTGTGTTTCTTTGACCTCAATACACGGCTACTATTATCATGTATTACTCCTTATTGCTGGATAGTACTCATGCTCAAATTGCTATGTGTGAGGCACATACTATATAGTAAATTTGGTTCTGGCATCTCTAAATTTTATGTTTGCTTTCGTTTCAAACTGAATAATATGAATATATTACCTCTATTCCTAAATATAATAACTCCTTTGTAGTATACAAAAAAAGTCTTGCATTTAGGATTAGTGATAATATTAAAATTAAGTATGACATTGTATGATATTAATGATGCACGAAAATGCACAGAAGATCATATGCACAAATGGCGCACAAGCATCGCGGATCACAGCTTTATTTTTAAAAGCGAAAACCTATGCACCAAATACAACTCATTAGTAAGGATTGAGAGTTGACTGTTTACGACTTGTTTGTATTCACGGTCAATAAACACATTCATGTAAGTCGAGACAAAATTTATTTCATATGCTTATCCTGTATTTTATAAATTACAATTGAAAAATTCCTTATAAATTACTTATAAGTTATTTCAAACAAATATTAATTAGTCTTGCTAGCTTTAAAAGGAATTATACTCAAAAAGTTTTTTTCCCCCGAAAAAATGCTATGGATATATATATATTCGTAAATTGCATAAAATATAAGAAAAGTGCCAACATTACTTTATAATAATTTTTTTGCATATAAAAAATACATTTTATATTAATATCATAAAATGGAATTTATTTAGCCCAAAAATGTCAATACCATTGGAGGGCCCGCCCACAAATAAATTATCAAACAATTGCCACAAAAGACAGTATCATAGGTTAACATCAACATTTCACTTTAATATTGATTAATCTTAATAAATCTGCACATTTTCAAAATGGTAGACCGTGCTACCCATTAATTACCAAGTTGTGTAAAGAAAAATAGCAATTGAAATACCTTTTCTGGGTCCATCATAGGGGGGGGTGGCCGGGGGGGAAAAAAAAAATTCCCACGCTGGGTAGAGCTGCTCATAGGCTTCATAATTGTGAAGTGTACGTGGTCGTCGATTTTCATGCGAAGATTATTTTTCTGGAGCCGGAGAAATTCGTTTTCCATCTGGGGCGCCATAGTGTGCAAATTAAACGAGTTCCATGGCTGTGGGTTTTACAGTTCGACAAGGATTTTGTGGATCAAAACAAGGGAGCTTCCTGAATCATTTTAGAGATGGTACGATTCAAACAAACGTGCTAAATTAGCCCAATCATTTTGGGGTACGGTTGGTTCGGTTCCGGTATGATCTCATCCTCTTCTTTCTTCTCATGCTTACCCCTACCACTCCTCCGACGTACAGGTCCATGCTCCAATGCTTGTAATTATATTGGATCGCCGGCGAAGTTTTACTCACATCTTCAGAATTTCCAGGTTTTGAAACCGTGTGTGTGTGTGTGTGTGTGTGTGTTTGATTCCAGCTCTGGGTTTCTCTTAAAGATGATTGCAATTCCATACTTGGCGGCATTGAGCACCTACTTTAGCTACAGTTTGCTCTTTGCCTTCGGTAAAATCAGAGATTGGTTTAGGAAACTTATGGACTGGTGTTCTAACAACCTTCAGTTTCTCCTGTCATAAGCAAGCAGTTCTAACAACCTTCAGGTTTCTCCTGTCATATGCATGCTTGCTTTTGCGATATGCCTTTTGTTTTTTTTGTTTTAACACATTAATTCGTGCAAGCAGGGTTGCGCACCCACGTGTTTAGGATTGGAAGATTTTTATATGCGCCGCTTGTATCTTCGCGTTCAGGTTTATAATTAGGGCCTTTGCTCCGATTTTTATTTATCCCTCCATCTATTATACCACCACCACCGGTTCATAATATAAGAATTTGTTTGGTTTTGAGTTTGATCCGAAATATAATTCCTAATCTACTTTATCTCTCATATTTATTTATTTCTTTTCAAAATAATTCTTATAGTAGTTATATATATTAAATATTTTATCAAATGATAATTCTAAGTAATATATATGTTTAGTAAGGGTATTATAGAAAAGATAACATCCATTTATTATAAATAACTAATTTAACAAACTTTTTTAATCTAATCAAATTCATCAACTAGTTCTTACATTAAAAACTAGAGGTAGTATTCAATTATATGCTTAACAAATTAAATTCGCAAAGCGTTGATGTTTTCAACTTTTTCTTTTTCCTTTTTTCTGTTTAATTTCCGTTATAGGATTGCTTTGGAAGACCCATATCAAGTGCCCCTGATGCCTGGTTTGATGTGGGGGAGCGCTACACTAACGATAATCACAGGACCCTCAAGTGCTAATTTATTGAATTACAGGGTTTCTATTTATTTATTTATTTGGATGTAGGGCTCCAAAAGGAGTTGGCCCAGCCTTAAACAGCCTACTTTTGCAAAACGGATAGTGTTGGCAAAGCTCAGCCATCCAACTTGCGGGTCCAAAGTTGGCCCTGCGCGCCTAGGCCCTTTTACACATTCTGTTTAATTTTTTTTTCAAATAAATCACAAGTTAGTCCAATTATAAAAGTCCTTTCTTTTCGAAAACATTAACACATATAACAAAAATCAAATCATTATCTAAGGTCTATATTAACCTATCGTTTGAAGTTCCAATGAATAAACCATAGTTCAAAACTAAACAAACCAAATCATTATATAAAATTTGATTTTAAATAAACAAACCAAAGCATGCTTGTTGTTTGAAGGTTTAAATCTGAGGCCTGATTCTTGCGACTCTCGAGCTTAAATGGATCGGTGTTATGGGCTTGATCTATTTTCCAGGCTGTATTTGAATGTTTAATTTTTCTTCACAAAAAACTTTATTACTCGAGTTATTGGCTCTCACATTATGCATAACCCAATCACTCTTATGCAGAAAAACGAGGGATCGTACAACTATCTTGGTTTTGCCGCGTCAGATGAATATTGTACACCCAGAGCAATTGAGTCACTGAGGAAGTATTCTGCAAGCACATGCAGTAGCCGGGTGGATGGGGGTATATATGTATATATATGTGTATTATTAGTTGCAGCTTAATTACCACCAAAGTTTGTCTAGATATATTCATAAAATATGATATGGCTACTCTAACAGGCACTACTGCTCTGCACAATGAATTGGAGACATGTGTCGCCAACTTTGTTGGTAAGCCAGCTGCTATAGTTTTTGGAATGGGCTATGTCACCAACTCTGCTGTTCTTCCAGTTCTCATGGGCGAGGTCTGCAAAATAGCTCATTTACAGACGTTAGGCAATTAGCTTGCTTTTTATTTATCACTGATATAACTTCCCTTTAAGTTGCAGGGAAGTTTGATCATCAGTGATTCATTGAACCACAACTCCATTGTTAACGGTGCAAGAGGTTCTGGAGCTACTATTCGTGTTTTCCGGCACAATAGTTAGTATTTTTCCCCCGTGCCAAATGAAGATCATTATCATGATCATATCTATCTGGTTTTTAATTCTAGTGTTTCCTTTTCTCCCTCCGTGCTGTGTTTTTTTTTCCTTTTCATGATGCTTACGAATTAAAGATAACAATATTTCGTTCATTTACTATTTTTTTGAACATGTTATCTGCAGCGCCATCTCATCTTGAAGAGGTTTTGAGAGAACAAATTGCCGAGGGACGGGCAAGGACCCATAGTAGCTGGAAGAAGATAATTGTTGATGTGGAGGGGATATACAGCATGGAAGGAGAGCTTTGCAAACTTCCAGGGATCATAGCTATCTGCAAAAAATATCAGGTATAATGGTTTAAAGTCTTTAACTCGTGAAAAATCTTCGTATATAAACACGATGGGGCTTCCCATAAATTTTTCATATGATAATGTCATGAGTAATGATCCATTTGTGCATGAATTCATAATGTTTTCAGGTCAGAACTTGAGAAGATGGGTTTTGAAGTTCTTGGGGACAATAACTCCCCTATCATACCAATCATGGTTTACAACATAGCAAAAATCCCTGCCTTCTCAAGGGAGCGCCTCAAGCGAAATGTGAGCACATGAATATATATTAGATCATTGTTAGTTGATATTCTCCAATCTGGATGTGTAATTTATTTATTTTTAATTAATTCCTTCTGTTGATGCATCGCATTTCCAGGTAGCTGTTGTAGCGGTGGCATTTCCAGCAACCCCATTATTGTTGGCCAGAGCAGGCATATGCATATCTGCTGCTCATTCAAAAGAAGACCTTATCAAGGCCTTGGAGGTAAGATCATGGGATTTTGACCCTCACTTAATTGTTATAGATGCATCTTTTTAGCGGCCGTGAAATGTTATGTGTCACTTTACCTTCGAAATGTCAATTATTGAGCTTGTCGCACCTTTATTTCCTTTTGACTGCTATATCTGAGGCAGGGAACCAAACATGCCGTTTTATATAAGTTCAAATCATTTGATGCCCCGCGTATTTCTGTGAAATTCTGTGTGTGTTATTGCTTGCTGAGATTGGTCTTGTTGATAGGTCATCAGCAAGGTGGGCGATCTGGCGGGCATAAAATACCTTCCTGTGAAGCAGGGGAAGTAGAAACATAAATATGTTGCTCATGCTCTTATTGTCATTCTTATAGGGTCGTTCCTAAACACAAATGAATCTTCCAGTTCGTTTGGCGGAGTTCCTACTGGTAAATTTGTCGGACTAATTAATGTGGCAAGTTGCAGTAGAATTTGAACTAGCTAGATGTATTCTTCGTATATAACCTTACACATCCGCGAGGAAAAATAATTTTGAAATATCTTTTCTGGAGGATCCCTCAAGTGTCTCTGGCCATTTCTGAGCAAAGAAATCTAACATGCAGTATCTGTAAAACATACATCCATCATAATACCAAACAAAGTCCTGGAATGCTCTCGTTGCATATTTTATTCACAAATCGTAATCAGCAGTACTGTGTGAATTATTATCCGCTCTATTCAAATAATTAATAGGGAGTGGCGTTATTTCTAAAATTAATAGGAAGTTGCGTTATTTTTAAACTATAAATAAAGTATAATTTATCCTAAATTCTTTCATAATATATAGGAAGATGTGTTTAATTTATATTATTTAATGCGTTATAAAAAAGGATTTTATTTCTTTTTTGGCCTCAGAAAAGAGGATTTTATTTAAATAAATGGCTCATTTTGCACGTAGGGCCCCACAGGGTAAACGAATCTGGTCCGTCTTTGGGGGGGAAAAAAATCATTGTATGAAAATCACAAAGAGGGCCACC